GAACCCAAGGTTTGTGCCATCTTCTGTCTGACGCTTTGGTTAAACTTTTCCATCATGCTTATCTGAAGCAAAAATGTATTGATGATTTGATCCTCTGAGTAAAAGGAGATGGCAACAAGATGACCACCAGGTCTCAGAAACTTGTGAGGTGTCATAAGACTTGTGTAGAGTTCATTGAGGTCATTGTTCACAAATATGCAAAGAGCTTGGAAAGTCTTGGTAGCAATATGGTCGATCATTGTAGCAAGTCTTTCGTGCATAAATAGCAGAAGGAGGAAATGCACCTTCTACTTCCTTAGTAAGTGTCAGCATTACTCATCATCATCCTCATCATCAAAATCACCATCAATAAACCAGGGTCGGAAGTTGGTCTGTTGGTACTGCGACATTCTTTGTTTCTCACCTGCTTTAGTGCTGGCAAGGTGCTGGGTTCTGGTGATGGGGCATGTGCTCCGTGCCTGAACGATTGCTGATGCAACTTTCCTGGCATATTTCTCTTGCCCGTATCTTCTGAGGATGGATGCAATTGCCTCTTGATCCAAGATGTTCACGGCATCAGCCACGGTGGGCATGTCAGGTTACCTGCCATGGTCCATCCTCGTGTCCAAAGGACTGTTGGTCAAGTTGCATGGAGGAGCACCTGAGATCCAACAGAACCCATCCAAAGTCCCCAGCTGCACCCCAGCCTCCAGGAGTAAGGCTTCCACCTGGTTGAATGGGCCTAGCAGAGCTCGGATCTGTTTCGGATACAGCTCTAAAAGCTGCTTGGCTATGGCACAAGCTGTTGGGTCTCTGTCTGAGGCACACAGAGTGGCGTCTGACCCTTTCTGGAGAATGGCTTTTGTGTATCCTCCTGAACTACACGTCCTATCTAGAAAAACCTTCCCTTTTGGGGCACCGAACAATGAACAATTTCATCCACCATTACTAGAATATGCAATTTAGCCAAGGTGTCAAAATCTCTGTTTTGAGATGTGTGCAATTCCTGGGCTCCAGTTTGACATGCTTGCACTTGGGTTTTATATTCATTACATCTTCCTGCTGTAGTATGTAATTTTTTTTGCCAGACATGTAAATTAAGTATGCCAGATTCCAACCAGTATGAAAAATACTCTTTATATATACATCTACAAAAATGGGTATGGAAGCATTCTGTAGGTCAACAAATCTGAGGCACGAAGATTTCTCTGTTGACATCTGACTGGAGCCAGAGATGACCACTATGGTGTGGGTGTGCCTGTAATTTCCTGCTCATGTTCACCAGTATTTATTTTTAAAATTGACTGTTCATGCAGTTAGGTGTGAAATTTCTTTTGGAAACATTCTGTAGCTAGCATGTAACATTTTAAATACTATATATTAAAAATCATGGAACTGTATACTATAAATAGGAGAATTTTATAGTACATGAATTATATCTAAAAATTACTGTAAAGGTAGAATAAAAAAATCACTTTTTCTGATATAAGAGATTGAATTATAAGGATAAACACATGGGCTCCCAATTATTGCCAGATGTTTTAATATCCCTTTCCTAGTGGCTGGTAGGAAGAAAGACAACAAATTAGTTAGGTTATAGAAGCTTTGAACAGCACCCTCCATTCCCCAGCTCAGCCAAAATAACATCTGTGGAATGTGCTGCAGCTGAATACAGTGCTAGGGACCCTTTATGTAAGCCGATGGGCCGTATCTTGGTATGATGAATATATTAAAACTACTCAGTTGTACACTTTTAAGTGGGTAGATTTTATGGAAAGTGAATTACATCTCAAAAGAAAATGGACTGTGCAGATGGTTCAAGTTTCTAATATAGACCCTATTCCTCTGCTTAAGGCTAGTCATTTTATCACCCTGACAGGGATTGTGGACAGACGTGTTGATGCCTTGTAAGGGCCTGGGTCAAGCCATCTATCCTGAAAACCCCTGGGCTTTGTGGTGTTGTCTTTGTCCCCCCCCCAAAAAAAAGCCTGCCTTGGGGACTGTGCACCTGCGATGACCATGTCTATTTTAGAGAGTCCAGTTCTGAGCTTTGAGTCTGGCCCTGAGTCTAGGAGCCACATGGCTTGTGGAGGAACAGGAGCTGGATGGGCAGCTATCTGTTCCTCCACTCTTTCCCAGAACCATGCTCTCCAGCACCTTCCTTCTTCTATCTTTATGATCGCTGGGCTCTTGACTCATAGACTTTCTACCCACAGACCTGGGCCTTGGAGAGAGGGCCTGCCCTGTGAGTCCCGTGTTATGGCTTGTGTCTAGATGTCCCCACAAAGCCTCACGTGCTTTTCAGAGGTGGCTGGATCTAGAGTGTGTGATGCTGGGATTACTAAACTAGTCCATTGATTGGTTTGGCATAACTCTGGGAGTGGATAATGAGAAGGCCCACCCTGGATGTGAGTGTTACCTGCCCTCAGGGCAGGTAGCCTGAATAGATACAAAGGGACAGAAAGAAGGCAGGCCAGCTGCTGCTGCTTCCTCACTACTTTGATGCTTTGATGCCTTCCTGATTTCTGCCCACTGTGTTTTCTCCTGTGCAGTTCCCCTCTGCCATCCCACCCTGCCTTGGAGCCTTTAACTTTGGGTGTCATGCATTTTGTCTTAGCAATGAGAAAAGTAACTAAGTTGTTCCTCCAATAGTTCTTTAGACACATGTAGTTTAGAGTTTGACTCTTTTCCAATTCTGGTTTAGAAATGACAATGTCATTTTATACTTGGATAACTTTGCATTTTGTTGGGCTGAACTGTTGTGTTTGATTGGTCTGTTTACTGGGGAATGAACCCAGGTCCTTCACACTGAGCTGCATCTCCAGATCTTTTTCTTTTTTCTTTTGAGGCAGAGTGTTGTTAAATTGCCCAGGTTGGGCTTGAACTTGCATTCTTCCTGCCTGAGCCTCCCTAGTAGGTGGGATTACAGGCGTGCAGTACCACACCTGGCTGGCTAAATTGTTTTATCCTTAGTGTTTTCAGGAACCAAAATGATAGGTCCATAGTGAGCAGTACTTCCCCAAGAGCACAGAAGCTAATAGCCCTAGTGGATGACCCTATTCCAGTCTTGCCCTATTCAGCAAACCTGGCTGAAGGTACAACACCACCCCTATTTACATACTGCCTTTGTGACATCAGTGAACCTACTTTGATGTGTAATCCTGCGCTATCCAGGTTTTAGGACACATTGCTGGTGCTGCACACACTGGGATTGACAGCTGGGGAGACCTTGCATGTATGAAATAGAAGGGCACATCGGAGTCTCTGTACCTTCTATTCAATTTTTCTATGAACCTAAAACTGCTGTTAAAAATAGGATAATAGCTAGGGATGATGGTAGACCAAATGAATAGAAATATAAGCGATGTTTGTATACTGACCTCATATCCTGACTTGTATTCACAGTTTCAGTTGATTTTCTGTAGAATATTTGGGGCTACTAAAGTTTAGTTATAATAATGACAGTTCTTCCTATGTATCAGGCATTACTGTAAATGTGTGTGTTAGTCAGCTTTCCACTGCTGTAACAAATACCTAAGATGAATCAACTTATAAAGAGAAAAGGTTTATTTTGGCTCACAGTTTTGGAGATTTCCATTTATCATCTGTTGCTTTTAGGTCAGTGGTGAGACAGCACATCATGGCAAAGGTGTTTGGTGGAATAAAACTACTCAGCTTGTGACTTGGGAGCAAAATAGAGGATGAGGAAGGGCTCAGCTTTCCAGTGTTCCCTTCAAGGGCACACCCTCAATGACCCAAAGACCTGCCACTAGGTCCAATCTCTTCAATGATCTGCTGCCTCCCAGTAGCACCACCCTGGGGACTTATTAACATATAGATCTTTGGGAGACATTTAAGATCCAAACTGTAACAGTGCCCTATATCGATTTTACTTTATTTGACCACACCAGCAGCATTCTGAGAAAGCTGAGTCTTGGGAGGCTTAGTGGCTTACCCGCAGTCCAACTCCTCCATTCCTAGACCCTGGGGTGGTAATGGCAGCTAGGCTTCCAAGGCTAGAATCCTCTCCTGAGCACTTGCTCTGCACCTGGTACAGTGCTGAGACCTTTGTGTACATTTTCCCAGTTTTGCCCCAGAGGAAGTGGTAAGGCAGGTACTGTTACTTTCCTGTTAACCAGCATGAACCAGACAGCTAGTGAGCAAGGTGGCTCCACTGTGGGAGACTGCAGGAGAGCATGGTGGTAAGGGCTCCACAGCCACAGGCCTGCCGTGTAAAGCCCATCTGTCTATGGTACAGTAATCCAACTTCACTGAGCCACCTTGTAAACCAGGTAGAATCCTGTGGCTTTATAATGGGAGATTATTCAGTATAGAAGACCAGTAGGTCCTTGCAGGGCTGCCCCTGTAGAAAAAAATACCATCTGAGGGGAAGGCCAGTTGGGCAGATGAGTTTTATGGAGCAAGTGGAAGGGATGCCCATGGCCCAGTAGCTGTGAGGCACAGGTAGTCAGGCCTATGGTGGCAGCATCACACTCTAGCACCTCTGCTGTCTCTCACCCTGCAGATTACCTGTCTCCCTCAACAGTTGAATACTGGCGTTCGTCCCTTGCACTGGTGTGGAGTTCGGAGTCCTGTGGCTTTTCCCAGCCCCTCAGACTGCTCCTCTGTGGCAGGTCCCAGTGTTCTATCATGAGTAGTCTAAATGTGCCTGTGACAGCTGATCTCTCCGGCTGTAAGCTCTGAGGGTGGAGCTCTTTCTGAGGTACTTGTGTATCAGGGAAGAAGGAGCCTATAAACACAATGGTGGCTGATGTGTTCTCAGTGTTCTCTGAGGCTAGACCTTGAGGGCCTGCCATGTCACTGTGGAGACACCAGGCAGGGGTCTGAGTCATGACCCTGCTCTGTTCTAGCTATAGGACGTGGACATGAAACATTTTCTCCTTGGGCATCAGCTTCCCAAGTGACCCCTTTCCTTCATCAGTGCTCTGGTACTGGGAGTGCCTAACTGTCCCCAGCTCTGTCTGATGTCGCTCTTTTCATCCCCTGCCTGTTTGCTTCAGTATGCCTGGGTGGAGAAGCACTTCGGTCCTGACTTTCTGGAGCAGATCGTGCTGACCAGAGACAAGACCATAGTCTCTGCTGACCTCCTCATAGATGACCGGCTGGACATTATAGGCAAGTGGCCTGCAACAGGGGAGGCATGGGTGAAGCAGGCCTTGGGGCCCCATGTCCCTTTTCCCCTGAGTGATTGCTCCTCTGCACTTTCTTGTCCCTGCCTGTCCACTGTGTAACCTGGTCTTGTCAGGTGTCCAGGCTGGAGCTGGCACTGAGTCTTTTGCCAGGGAGACAAGGTCTTTTCAGCATATTGTCTGGGGTAGGAAATTACTGGGAGTCAAGAAGTTCAGGCCCCAGCTTTAGGCTTCCCTTGCTGACTGATGTCCAGTGAGTCACTTCACACTTCCACAGTCTTGCCTTCTTCATGCTTTTAGCAACAAAACCTTCTCCCCTTTTTTTCCCCTGCTCAAAAAAGAGTTTGGAGTGAGCCTAGCATACAACAGGAAAGCAGACCTAGTTTCTTTGTTTCAAGGTGGCTTGAGCATTTCTTTAGTCCTTACAGATGACCCTCTCCCAGAAAAACCAAGCAACCAACCAGTCAACCAGCCAATAAGCCAACCAACCAACCAATAAAAGGTGAGGGCATAAGTGGGTGTGTTGGTGCACACCTGTAGTCCCAGCTCTCAGGAGGCTGAGGGTGAGGCTGAGGCTGGAGGATCGCTGTGAGTTTGAGACCAACCTGGGCTACATAGTATGTTCAAGGCCAGACTGAACTACATTGTGAGACCGTGTCTCAAAAACAACAATTAAAAAAAAAAAAAAAAAAGAAAAAAAAAAA